TGTATAGAGGGGGTACTGGCAGAGGAATGATGTGTCATCCTGTATGTCATGCTTTTCAGGCAGAGCTCTTGATAATGAAGTCCAGGAAGAGATGAGGAGAAACTGCAGGTCCATCAGTGTGAATTTTCAGAGCCACAACCCCCCCCTTTCCTCTCCACCTCCTTGGTTCTCCATGGGGAGACATTTCGGGAGGGAGGAATTGAAGAGGGAGGAGGCTAGCTCATAAACATGACATTTGCATGGAAATTAAAGGTGTAATAATGAATTTGAGCCCCTCCCTTAGGGGTTTTAATTACTGCACAGAGAGTCGGCGCAATCTGCCACTTCACATCAGAAGCCAGAAAAGCAGCACGGCCGACTGGGGACCCATGCTTAACTCTTTAATCCTCCAGCTCCACACTGCTGCCGCACAGGGGCCCTGCATGTTCAATACATTACCATGGCCAATGGCCTGTGTAAGTGCTTTAAATAATTTATAGTATTCAAGACATTTCATTATGTGGTGCTATTAGCTTCTTCATGTTTAAGATTTTAAAGCAGTAGTGAGTACTATCTGCCCTGACTGCTGTTTTGCAGAAATCGAGCAATTCATGTGACTGATTCATTTATTAGTAAATAACTTTTTATTTCGCAATCTCATCTGTATAGCAGGGTTGTACTAATAAATGAAGATGCAGTATATTTTTAGTTTTTCTTAATTGCATAATGTACTGGCATGCAACATCAAAAACTGTTTCAAATAAACTGTGGGTGAAATCATTGAAAAACAAATAGTTTAATTGGGTTGAATTTTAAGTGTCAGATGTTTTGTTGCATAACTTTATGATTCCCAACTAGGAAATTCTTTGACTTATAAAATTGCATCAGCAATAGTCCAAATGAAGAATTCCTGTAGCAGGACGTTGCTGCCAGTTATAGATTGTTAGTTTACGTGTTTGTTAGCTCAGTTCAGCTTTGGTTTTGTCTTTAGGAGAGAAAAATTGATGGGAGGAATAAAATCAGTGTAGTGGCTGACGGACACAAACAAGACTGGAAATGATGGCATTATAAAAAATACAGTATTAAAAAAGGATTTAGATGCTTTTCTTTGATCATTTCTATAATCCTCTGTTGGATTATGGAGTATTGCAAGAACTTGAATAGAAGAAAAAAATTACAGGTACACTTTAATTTTGCACATTTCTCTCGATTGCTTTCTATTGTGGATCAAATTGTGCAACCAAGACATAATGTGCTGTCCTTAGTTTCTGCTGTTTGAAAGCTGTGTGTTATAGTACAGGATTGGAATCATTATGTCACTAAACATACTTTCTCGTCAAGCGGTCATTAATTCTATTTCATAACCACTTAAAGAAAGAACTGACAGCTGTGGAGTGAAACATTGTGCTCTTTACTGAATTCATATCTGTTATGACTTAAGGTTATTATCTCACCCATTACTCTGTCAGGCTTTGAGTGAACTCCTGTCATAGATGACATTGTCGTCTGACTGTAGCTGAATTTGTTCATTTAGACAGTCATTTTTCTCGATAGCTTTCAGTTGTGTATCAGCATCTCATCCCAACATGAGGGAGGAACTCTATTCCATGAGGGTGAGAAGCGTCTGTTTTTTTCTACCTCATAATTATTTAATTGTATTATAAGAGGTAGACAACACATCTCCTGTTATGTTTGCTTATTGAAACAATACCTGCAGGAATATGGCCCCCGAAGGTGGTGGTGTTCACCGCAGTCGTAGAGACCTTCAGAAGCTGCGTTGGCAACAGCAAAGACAAAATAGTGAAAGCTGAACCAGATTTCTGTGGGCTGTACAGCTATACTGTAGCCCCTGTAACTACATTTGCATCAGTCTTCTGTCTTTCAGAGTACCAAGCATGGGGTGCAGGGACAGGAGTATGATGGTGAATCTTCATTAACAGTAGACCTGCTGACTTGCATTCCAGATTCTTTCTCCTGAGTGACCTTCCCCAACATGAAAAGCCCTCTGTGCCTGCGAGGGGACCTGGGTTACTGTCAGACATAGAGAACATTGCAGGCATGAGACCGATTCCTCTTTTTGGATATCTTTAATCACATTTTAAGAATCTGTTTCAAGAACATGTCACCAGCAAGTTGTGTAGTGGTGGATTTCTTGTGTTGTTTTCATTCTGCAAAATAGTTGAGCGTTTTCTTTCTGTTTTAGCAAGAAGAATCTACAGCATCTTTCAGCTAAGTGGGTATGTGATAAAAGAGACCCATCTAAATGTCAGCTGTACAGTCAATTGGGTAGAATGCTGAAAAGAAAGCACCTAATCTAAATGGCTATCTTTATAGTGATGGAAAAGAGCAGACAGCTTTAACACTGACGAATTGTACACATGTAATGCATTTCCTTCACAAACCTTTCTTAGAGATCTGTAATGTATTATCAGAATCAGAATGGTATTATACACCAATATTTCTAGTGCTGTAAGTTACAATGATTATTATTTTTAAATATAGTTATATCTATTATTGTATATCAGTTGAAGGTACGTATTAGAATTGACATCTGACAGCTTGAAGTTTCAGGTGAATTATTTTTAACTTATACTCTGCCTGAGCTCTTCAGATCATTTTCAGAAGCACTTTTTTAGTGGTCAAAACTCAGCCTTTCAAGCAGCACCCAGCAGGATCAGCACAAAAATAGAGGCTGCTCTTTCCATTCGTTAGAACTAACGGTTGGTGTCCATTGTTCTCTCTGGGTGGCAGTTCTTCGCCAGCACTTTGAGACAGTGATTGCGTCAGAACCGCGCAAACACTCTGCTGGCAGAACAGCACTGGTCAAATTCTACATACCCTTTGTACACCTGGCAGGATACTTAATCTGCCTGTAGGTTCTGTTGGTGCTCTGATGGTTAATAGTGTGGTATTTTGAGGTTTACTGTATGTAGAGTCTTTTAGGAAAGGGAGTGGGCAGGAGACATTCTAAAAGTTCTCTGATGACATTTTAAAAAATGTATTATAAACTACAAAGGACAATTCAACACTTGGTGATGTGTATTTTGGCAGCTATCAAGCAGTGAAGCATCTCGGAGAAGTAGAATCTTGGCACCAGTTCACACATTGCCAAGTCAAGTCAGAATTTTGGATTTTCTCTTTTTAAAAAAAAACATCATTGATCTTCAGTAAACAAAATCCAAGAACAGCTTTGAAGTCTAAATCTGGGTGTTTGAGTTCTGCCTGAAAACTAAAATGGCAGCAGCCAGATTTGAAATTTCTCAGTTTTCTTTTCTGCTTTTTTCAGATCTAATAATTTCATGCTTGGCCCTGTCTGAGCTTTGTGATGAGGGCAATCTTTGGCATTGGCACATTTTTTTGTTTCTGACATCTTTATTTATTCGATATGCATTTACAGTACACCATTGTGTACCAGCTCATAGATTAAAATCTAAAGAGATTAAACTATGCTCACATCTTTGGTTTGTGCTTCAGTCCCATGAGCTAGGGGCTGTGTAGAAGAGATTGTGCTGTATTTTCTCATTTCTCTGCTGCGTGGATTCATTGACTGTCACCTCCTGTCTAATGGTGAAAACAATGACACCCATGCTCATAAAGTCAGAGCTCATTCCACTTTCCCAAGTGTGAAGACGTGTGAACATGCATGGCCAGGATGGGATACTAGCCCTTAACACTGGTACCCTCCGGTAGTGCTGGTACTCATTTATACAGCTGGGTGGACTGGAGAAAGTTGAAGTGCCTTGTTCTGAGATTCAACATCAGTATCCTGCACTCTGTTCAAATGCTCCAATGCTTCCCTAGCACTAGTAATGCTGACAATGAGAATAATAAAGTATATGGATTCCTGAATTCACAGAATTTCAATATTATCTTTTGTTATCTCTCCACCTGTCTTGAAATTTGCAATGTTGACATCTTGAATGTACTACCAAATACATTTAAAAGATATCAGGGTGCCTGCATTGAAATGAAGGAAAGCCCTGACCCACATGAGGTATTTTAAAGGATCTTGGGAAGAGTTAGGCCATTTAAAGGACTAAGGTGAAGAATGTTGGACTTTTTTCATGCTGTACTTTAGCTAAGGAGTGATGCAGTGAACTTTAGCCATGTAAGATCTGGGCCTTCTTTTGGAAGACTGAGGCAGAATTCTGAAGCAGTCTGATCGTAACATAAAGAAAAGACTAGACCCATGACCCTTAAAAATCCAAACCAGGAGGAAGACTAAAAATGAAAACTTGTTCTCCCCTTCAGTGGGGTTTGGCTACCTAAGCTCTTTGGCACTGGTGAATGCTTGGCTCTCTTTGTTTCTTTGTTTATCAGGCAGCAGGCATACTGTATCTGCAGCTTGCGAGCTGTGAGCTTGTCATTTTGCTTGACAGTTGGCCAGTGTGAGTTGTGTGTGTACGTATACGTATGTGTGCAGTGATTGATATGGTAATGAGGTGGGTGGTAAAGATACGAGGAGTGCAGAAGGGCTCTCCTTGACTGATGAACTAGGGAGACAGAAAATGTGTTCCATTCATCAAACAGTGACAGAGAAGTAGGGCAGCGGCCAGAGCAGTTATCTCAGGCAGATGCAGGAGGCAGGGGTCTGTGCTCCGTGTCGTGTGTCAGCAAACTGACTTCTGTGTTATCTGGATTGCAGGGGTTGTAGAATTCCCACCACAGACACACACACACCACTGCTGACATAAAGTTTGTTTACTTTCCAATTTATTCAATTCAGTTTTGAGGGAGGAAAATACCTAATTTGTTCTGTAGTTTTGAATTTTGGATAAAAACTACAGATTGTTTTTAATTAATTGTTTTGATTCTTAGATAGACAAAACAAAATAATAAAAATGAAATACAGTGGATTATATCTTTTTGCTCTAAAGTAAACTATTCTGACCTGAATTTATTCATGTGTGGCTGTTAACTTTATTTGTTTTTTTGTGGTATTATTCCAGTATCCAAAATGACTTTATAATGCAGTGACCTTGTATTGGTCATAATACACAGATGTGTATTTTGCTCCACAGATGTGATTCCACGTATTTGCACATAATGGAGGTGTGAAGTATGTCAAGAAACACTGTGAGTGAACTTTTTCCTTGTTCTGAGTTGGGGAAAAAAAGGAAGAGTGATGACATAAGCATCTGTATTTTACTGTTTTGTCACCCTTTTTTATATCCTAGCCAGGGGTGAAAATGTAAAGGTGTCTTAATTGGGATATTTTAGGTGGAAAATGTTGAATTGATACCAATGAGAGTAGTTAATTCAGCTCATTTTCTCAGTTAGTTGCACAAAGCTTTAAAATGCTCAGCTATTACTTCGTCTTGCACAGGGCAGAACAATTTGCTGGAGAGGACCCATGCAGGACCCTGGCAATTAGACAAGCAGAATTAAGGGACCAGTGTGCTATATCAAGAGAATAAACTGTCACAACTCCACACCCAAAGTCCTTTTTCCTTTTTTATTGGCTGACCGGAGTGTCTTTTTGACTCATTTATAGCCATGCAGCTACTGATTAGCCCCATAGACTAAGAGGCCGCAGGTTTGCCTGATCTGTTTCTGCTCTTTTACAGCTCATAGTTTATGGTGTTGAATCTTATGTGATCATGTGATCACATTAGAGAAGCCTGCCTGCACTTCCTCATTCACCCCTGTGTGCAGTCACAGGCATTGTAGCTGTGAGCACCACGCAACTGGCTTTCCCACATTGGGCACCTATAACGATTAATTGGCAATTCATTATTTTAAAATATCAATATTTCACGATGCACTTTAAACAATGCAAGTTCATTTTAACAGAAGTACCCTTTTGAAACACTTTGCTTGTGATTACAGTTACTAAAATCTGTTTTATCAGCAAAAAATTACTTGGAGTTACTTGTCTGTAAAACTGCATTAACCCAATGAAACCTTAGTCAATTTCGCCCTGGAATGATGTCCCCTCAAACAGTTTGTAATATCTCTGGACATTTATACAGTAGAAGCCTGGTTTATGGCTTAAATTATACTAATGTGTCCCACGTTTTGTCTATAAACTATTTCTCTCTGTTGCACTATAAATTGTATCTCATTATTTTAATATAAAATAACACTAAATCACTCCTAAGCATCTGATACTTTCAGAATTTCATTTGAACTGAGAATTACTGTTATTACGGCTTCTGTTTTTGGCTGATGCCTTTATCCAAAGCAACTTATATTTCTGCAGCCAGATATTGTATTGAATCAGTGTGAGTGCAGAACCATACAACAGCAGTGCCTTCCCTGGGATTCCAACCCATAACCTTCCTGGTACAACTCTTGAACCCTGGCCGCTGCTCCCCTGCCTGTGTGATGATCTTGTTCTGTAGATTTCTTTATGGCTGCCCAGGCATACACACAGACAGGCAAACAACATCCCTGACATCTCCTGCTAAGACATTATAAACAGGAGAGAAAAGATCCAGTTCTTCAGAGTTTAGTCTTCAGCCTTTAATACGGATCTGAGCAAACAGTACCTTGTATGCACAGCAGTGCTCACTCAGATGACATCCGCTGATAACCATCATGTGTTCAGTTCACTTACCACCAAGTCTAATTTTGCTTTTCATTGTAAGGAAAACATAGCTTAGAATAGTCCAGGAACACGTTAATTAAGGTAATTAAAGGAAAATTATATCTTATTTTGAGACATTTTAATTGGATTAAAAAAGATGATTGCACTATCTATTGTGCTCTTTCTGATCATTATCTTTTTTCCTAGTTATTTAACAGTTCTCTTAATTAATATTTTATTTCATTGCACTTACATAAAGCACTGCCTGGGAGTGATTTTGAAAATACAATATCTCAGTTTTTGAAGAGTTTACTGTGGTCTTTGACATGTGCTTCCCAACTCTAACACTAGCAGCAAATAGTTATTCACTGCAATTTAATATTAAGTACTTGGTTTTCTAATTTTATCTTCATTTAGCATAATTATATATGCCTTTGTATAGTTATATAATATGTACATCATTGACTCTGTTTTATAATTCCATCTAAAGTGCTTTATAGATGGAACAAGTCCTGTCACTCATAACTGCAGAAGATGCCATTGTAGGAAATGTTCAGCATTGGTTTATATAACAAGGTGTTGCAGAGAATCTAACCTGCTGTAGGTTCTTTCATGAGGTGTGAAGGATTGTGTGTACTGAGAAAAAGATATAACCCACAGTGGTTCTGTGTGAATTTCATGTTGATTAACATGGTTAATTAATTAAACCAGATTATTTTTCTCAGTAGACAAATGGCAAGTGGCAAAACTGTCACAAATGTGAACGTGCTGGTTGCATCTATGTTGTAGAATAACTTTATAGGTCCTATGAGTTTTATTTATTTCTTGTTTTTGTCTAGCACTTTTTGCAATAAGTCAAGGTCTTAAATCTGTTGTTTAATAAGGAGTTCCAGGTAATTCTGTGTTTTACTCCTTTGAGTCCTGTGAGATTCATGTTGCAAAGCATTCCAGCATATACTCTCCTTCAGACAACACAGAATTAAGTTGCTTGTTTTATTTACAGTACTAGGCCTCTAATAAGAGCATTACCTTTACAAGCAAGAGAACATCATTCATGTAACAGTGTTTGGTTGCTAGCAAAGAAGTAATCCTGAGGATCTCGTCTGACTCATGAAAGAATGATCAGGAAAGGGTATCTGCTTCCTCATCGTGGCTGGGTATTTTACTCTACAAACACTTTCTCCAAAAGGTGCCTCCTCTTGTCATTAAATGCTTCCCTGTAGAGTATGTGTTTGGGCAACAGCAGCCATGTGCATGTGCAGTAATGCCTGATTGATGCAATATTCCCAGGCGCACAATTATTATTTTTTTCTGTTTAATGACATTGTGGGAATAATTCCTTCTGGAACATGGAGACGTTAGGAAAGCTATTGTGAACTTGGCTAAACGTTTAAACTAAAAGAAGTTAATTCTTTACTCTCTGTACCTCTCTGGGGTCCTGACATCCTCATCCTGTGGCCAAGGGGCTGGCCCTAAGTCAGGCCTAAGTACTTGACAAACAAAATGCATTAAATTCCTGGGTGTTGTTATTCACAATGAACTAAATATTGCATTTTTATTTAGTACAGTTCTGTTCTGCATGTATAATTTAATAACACCACCTGTATGTCAGGAACTATAGCAATGGATTCTTACTGCTTTTATAGACAGAAATGGCATCATTCTAATTGCATTGCGATTATGTATACATATTGTCAAATATTAATTCTTTATTTATTGGCTTTTCTGCCTAGTACAGCTCCCATTTAATGAATTTATACACCAATTGTCAATCCAATTATTTCTGTATTGCAACAATTCACAAACGTTCTATATAGAATTATTATAAACAATTATAGTTCGAGTGCTATGGCAGATGTTGGTAAGTTCTGTTGAGTGCTGTGTACTTTGAATTTTGTACCATTGTTTGTGCAACCAAGAGCCGGCTATGACTCAAACGTACTGAACCTTACAGTGAAATACAGTACAGTTTCCATGCAGTTGTACTGTAAACTGTGAAGGGGCGCTGTGCTCTGGTGTCTCACTATCACTACTCTCTTTCCTGATCTGCAATATTGAATGCAATGCATTAGGGGAACTGGCTGTTGTGAGTTGAAAACCACATTTGAGAGGGTTTTGCTTTTTACTGCGGACACCCAGAGCTGTGACTTCATGTTGACTCCTTTATGAGCCTTTTTCCACAGCTGAGCTAATGGCCTACCGACTGAATTCCTCCATGTGCACACCGAAGTGCTCCAGCCAGTTTGTAGCACGCAGCTTCCACTTTATACTCCACCATCAGCAGGTTTAAACAAGTGGCTCATTTAATTATTCCTTTCACCATGGAAATGAGACTTTCAATTCCAGGAGTTAATGGAGGCCAAGTGATTGTTTTTCATTACTTATCCTTATCAGTGTTCAGTGTGTCTTTATTTTTGGTGTTTTGGGGTTAGCGTTGTATTTCTTTTGTTTCTCAGATGAGTGGATTCTAGGCTCTTTTCCCGAGGGGATTTTTTCTCTTTTCCTGTACCAAACCATTCTATTTCATTTGGCATCTGGCCAGTCTGGCAATCTAGTTGTTTTCTTTGGCTGCTATATTTAGCATCGCTGGTAAACATGAACAGACTAGCAAGTCTTGTCTGCACCTTCATCACTATCCTACCTGCTTATTACATTGTAAATACATATTGTGGCTATAGATGGTATTTAAGTGCTCACTTCATCTCATCGTCACTATAACATTTTTATCGTTTTTATATGCAACTTGCACAACTGGGTAAAGTGAAAGTTCTTAGCAGTGTGACCTTTAAATAATAAGGGCATAACACAAATATCTGAGATCCTCCAGCAAGTTTAAACCCTTGTTAAATAGTAAACAGGGCAGCAGTAACAGACATTGCTCTGTCTTCCTCTGTCAGCCTCCCTCAAAAGTTGCCAGTAAAGACTTGTTCTTGTCTGGCAAAAGCAATGATCCCTGAGTGCTACTGTGAGTGCTGCATACTTCTTTTTACTGCATGCTTAGAAATAGGTCCTATAGTTGTCACAAAAAAGTCCCAAAACCCTCATCACATTGAAATGATTTTTTCGATGCTGTTTATAGTGCAGGTCCCTCTTTTCATGTTTTCTCATGAAGGGGTGTTAACCCCACTGTCATGGCCAAACCCAATGCAAAAGTTATGATTACAGATGGCTTCATTGCCAATGTCTAGCACGCTTAAGCTCTTAACTACAAGTCAACTATAAGTTGTTTTTATTCAGATAATATTTTCATTTTTAGGTGTTGTGCTCTAGAAAACAGCTGGTACACATTGGCTTTTGTTGGCTAACGTTGTGCAGTAGTGCTTGTTGGTCCAGGATTTATGTGAATCTCATTCATATTCATATTGTTTACTTTACATGTGGAGCAATAGTTTTGCTACAGTGAAACTAGGCTTCGTTTGCAGTTTTTGTGAAAATTCTGTCTCAAAAAGTTACCCAAGAAGACCACTGGAGCTTCTGTCTGTGCAACACCCATTTTCACTTTGTATATTTCCTAGTTATTTCACATGATGATTCTGTGAAGTTTCAC